CAACATGAGAAATTTGATTAAAATATTCCACTGGAAACTCTGCTGTTTAGGTGTTTTACAGAAGAAGGTAACCAGCAGCTGTTAGTAGCTAAGATGTAAAAACAGAGAGCAGAATGAAGAGAGAGAGAGAGAGCTTGTGGGGGAGGGGAGCCTGTAGAGTCCTCAAGGACACGGCGAGCTGCGGGAGCCGGGCTGAGGTGTTACAGGGAGAAGGCAGGGATAAAGAGAAGAGACGGGTTGGGTGGGGGTGAGAGGAAGGAGCGCTGACGCACTTAGGAATGGGTGGAGGGGTGAGGAGAGAGAGGGGAAGCTGCTGACGTCTGGACAGCAATGAAACGACAAAATCAAGAGGATGGCCTGGTCCAAAGTCTGCTCAGTGAGGTGAACAGATAAAATGAAGCACACAGGACGGTCAGCATGGAGCTTCTCTTCTCGTCACTTGTTTAGCAGCTCTCTCCTCTGGTCAGAAGACAGCTGCCCACTGAACTGAGGTTCAGGTTCATGACTAGAGAAATGTGGTTGTTTGATTTGTGAAGTTAGAAATGTGGTTCTGCTGTTAAAATGTGCAACTTACACATTGTTATGACAGCATGTTGACAATATGTGATCTGGACCAGAGACCTTCAGCTTTTACAATCCAAAGAGAAGCTTTTGTCCTTCATCCAGGAAAATAAAAGCAGATTTAGAGCCTTTTGAAAAAAAATGACACCCACTTATTATTTTTTTTACTAAATATCTCTAGAAAATCTGCTGAAATTATTAACGAGAACAATTTTTTTCCCCCCAAAAAAACAAACAAAAAAAAAACAGTGTATTTTCCTCTACAGGATGCTGCTATTTGCACATGTGAACTCATTCAATAAATTAGAATATTATTGAAAGTCAATTTAAATTTAGGAACTTTATCATGAAGTGAAAGACATTGTATAGATTAATTGCACAGATGGAATAAAAGCCTTCATTTCTGTTAATTATGATGATTTTACATTACAGTTATGAAACAGGATGATTAAAAATAGGACATTACATCAGACTAATAAAAAATATATTTTTAAAAACAGAAACATGAGCTTAATGAATAGGGTGTTTAATACCTGCTTAAAGATTACATATAATTCTAATACATTTAAAAGACTTTGAGAGATGAAGGTCAATCTTTGTCTAATAGCTCTTTAACAATTTGTCATTGCTAGGAACTGTTTTCCTTAAGCATGTTTTGATTGTGAAAATGTTGAAATTGAATGATGACATCACATCACCTCCTACGCAAACTGACAGAAGGCTCTGGAATAAGTGGGCAGCGTTATTTCAAGAAACAAACACCAAGATGGGGCTTCAGGTTTCTATATTTATCAGAGTAGGTTATCCAAGTGTAATTAAAAAGAATCTACCCCGAACATGATCATCTGTAATAAGAACCGTTCCATCTCCACACAGCTCTCGTCTCAAAGGTCGGCCCGCAGAAGACACGCCATGTCAAATATTGACTTGTTAAACTTTGAGTGTGTGTGAAAGTGGCTCCGAAGTTCAAGATTGACTGAACAAACTGAGCTTCTGCTCTGCAGGAGAACGAGGCCAGCAATTATCAGCTGATATTAAACATGAATGCACTGAATCGTCCACTAAAGAATGAGAATCTATGTTGAAATCAATAACCCAACAGTAGCATCTGCCTTTATTCTGTACAAGTGTTACCTCAGACACAGAGCACCAAGATGGAAACCAGATGGACTAAAATGGAATAAATTGAAAACATCAGTCTGGTTTCAAGTGCCACAGGATAGAGACATCTCTAACTCAGTAATGATTTGCTTCTAAGTGGACTTTGGAAAAATCAACATTCTTTGTGATTTTAAATCAGACATCTTTAGCTTTGAGATTCAGTGGTTGCAGTGGAAGATGTTTGGTTTTAAATATAAATCTGGTTGAGATGCTGATGATGTGACCTTAAACAGACGTCATGTTCAAAATCACACGTTCCTCCATCCTAAATTTAAATAATTCTGCAAAAAAAGTTGGTCAGATCATAATACCGCCACTGCAATTTAACACACTCCTCAGACATTATTGTTAAGGTTGTTAATGTGGCTGTTTTCTCTAAATGAATAGAATCATCATGTGATATTAAAATTTGTTCATGAGTTGAAACATTTAAATTTAGCAGCAGGAAAACTTTGGACATCTGTGAGGTTGCAACTACTATTGAACAGCACTCTCTATGCAAAATTCCATCATTTAACATAAACCAGAAAACATCCAATAGAACAAATATATCTTTAATTATTTCTGTAAACTAAGAAATAAGCGGGTCAGCAACTGAGCCTTGGGGTGTTCCTGTTTTCATTTTCAAAGTATTTCACTTGAAACATTCCATTTTTTGCCATTACAAAAACATTATTTACTCTAAATGTTTCAAAGAAAACACACAGCTTCAAAATTTCAGATTAGAAACTGTGGTTTAACGTGTGGAAGATCTTTTTTATATTTGGAAATATCTGAAACATTTTTCAAGCTCAGGTAAGAACATAACCCTTTAAAATGCTGTGGTGTCCATTTCCCTGCTCTCTTCCATCCAGATAATTTCTTCAGGTTACCCTTTTTGTCGGTTTGCAGCAGCTGTGAAAGTTCCACTTTCAGCTGTTTTTCTGTTTGCTTCAGGCCCTTTTAGAAGAAGGCAGGTTTCACACACATCCAAACCTATAATTATGACTTCATCTGACTCACCTGAACACACACTTTCTAAACAATACCAGTCTGCCTCTGCTCAGACGTTGTTCACTTCCATCAAGAAGTCACAACAAATACTTCATTTGATTCATAACTGGGACGCTTCCACATGACTTCACATCTGCAGTCAGTACCTGTGTCCACATACCTCAGATCCCTGCACATCTTTGGTTTTATTATGCCTTCAAATGTGAAGCGCATTACTGAGGTGAGTCATGCAGTGAATAAGAGCTGAAAGTGATGTGACTTGCTTTGGCGCATGGCGAGACATAGTTGAAGAATTGGAGTAAAAATCAGACATTAGCAGAGTGAACATTGGCGTGCGTCCCTCTGCTGCAGGGCGAGAGGAGGGAGAACGGCTCCTACTCCTGAGATACCAGGGTTTAGGAAAGAGAATGAATCATGATCTGTCCATCTTTGATCACCATTCTTTGGATTATCTCTTGTTTTATTATTCTCATTATTTTTATCATTATTTGGACAGCAAGGTTGTGTATTCTGATTTATGCATGAAGTTATCACTTTTCTGACAGTCTCTGTGTTAAATGATCATGTCATGAAAATGAACTGGGTTTGATTGTTAGACGTGATAATCTGGTTTAATATTTCCTTACTTTACATTTTATTACATGGACGCTCTCAGCCAACAACAGTTATTACATGAACAGACCACCAGGCGCACTAAAGATATTCACCATGGCAGAAGATCAATCATTAGCGTTTTAACTTAAGACTGCATGGGTAAAACTTACTTACATTCAGCATGAGCATAAATGTCATATTAATTTACAGTTTTAGAGATTCCTTTGAAAGATCCTTTTTCAGGGCCATGTGATTATGGCAGCATCATGCTGAAGGTTTGTTTCACTCGTAGTGGGCAAGAAATAAAAGTGACAAAAACCTTTGTGATCAGAAAAGTCAGCTTTGACCTGCTTGGTTGTACTGAGCAAGGTGAGATTTTGAGAAATAGACACTGACAACAGCTTAGCATGGAGGTAGCGGTGTCATGCTGAGGGGAAGGTTTGACCACAAAGAAGGATTCCTATCAAATTCTTCAGCTTCCTCTCATGTGAACGGCTGGATCTGAGGTGTGCAACCTCGGACTCCAGAGACACCAATGGCTCTTTGTACATTCCACGAAGTACCTTCATATCAGGATAAAAGTTAAAACAAACTAATTTATGCTTTTAAATACAGTACAAAAACAACAAATTCTGATTTTTAATAAATTTTTTCTGCAATATTTGCCCTGAATTTCCACAAAGAATGACATATTAAGTACCAGTGATGTATCTTTAGATCTGTTCACCAGTCAAAGCTTCACGGCTGAGTGGAGATGAGAAAGACAGGAAATACTGGAGGACATTTATTTTCCACCTTCTTGAGAGCTTCGGCTTCATCATCCAGCAGGACGACTGCTTGATGCTGCAAGGCTTTATCATCAACTGAGCCACAACCTCAGTAGCTCGGTATTTTGCTGGAACCAAACATAAACAGAGACGGTAAGAAGACAACAAGGGGGAAATTCTGAAGTGGCCCAGTCAAAGCCCAGACCTGTTCTCAGCTGATGTCCTCCACCCACGAAACCTGCCAGCTTCACTTTGACATTACAGATTTGTTTTGTTTTTTTTATTTTTTTTTATTGATCATGATTGATTTGCATAAAGCCTGTAAAGGAGTAAAACATCCAGATGTGAATATTTTATACAGGAACTGTACAGTAATAATGTAAATGTTAGTTTTCATACGTTTTATATGAAAAAAAAAATTTAAAATCTCTGGGAATTGTTACTACTGCCTGAATTTTGGTATTTTCTAACAGTTATTTATTTGTTTGATTATTTCATTCGTTTTACTGTATGAAATGAATATATAGAGTAAATGTGCACATAATACTTTTGTTTGTCTGGTGTCATTATTTTAAATGACCCAATCAGGTGATATGATCAGTTTGCACTTGAGAAATCTTCTTCCAAAACACTTCATAACTTTCTCTCAGGTCCAGTGTTTGGGTCATCAGCTGATCTGAAACTAAAAGAAAGCACTCCTTTGTTTCCAGCGCTGGCTCACGATGTGAGGTTTGAACTTTACTCCTGTGTTTACTTGTGGCTTTTAGGGCCGGGCTTATTTAAAGCCAAACAACTCAGACAGAGGTGAAACCTCTACATGCATTTCCTCAAACGTGCGTCTTATCTTGATGCGTTTAGTTCTTCCTTCCTCGATCTTTCGGGCCGACAGCGGCAACGTACATGACGAAGGAACAACAAAAGAAATGGTTTTTAAATAAATATTTTATTTGAAAATAAATACATTTTCTTAAAATAGAATCAATAACATTAGAAAAGGTCAGCGAGGTTGGGAGGGGTGAGAAACGGGGGAGAGAGGGGTGCTGGGTAGGAACAGGAAGTACAATCTCACGTTAATCTACCATCTTTAGACAGGTTCCCACAAAGCGGCGGTCTGTACATTCTCAGTAGCTCGGTTGAAAGTTGATAGCATCCCTCACGTAAGACATGCAGTCCATGTGAAAGCTTTAGACCACGCCCCCTAATCCTCCAGTCTACTGTATCTACACACTGTAAGAAGACAAAGGGTATAATCTCTTGTCAGCACATCAAATATCAGCCTCTGATTTAGAGTTTTCTGCCAAAGTACCTTAAATGTGTTCAGATCAGCTTTGCCTCCAGCCTACAGTACAAAGATACAATACAGTAAACAGGCTACCATTGGGTTTAGGCCAGAATCGTTGTGACAGTGAGGTGGTCATCACCGTTTTTGACCAGCAGGCTTGTTTTCTATAGACAGGGGGCACCAGTGCAGCCGTACAGCAGCAGACCAGCGCCACGCTGACCTCTAACACTTATCCTGCAAGAGCGGGAAGCTTTTGCATGTCGAGAAAGAAAAAGAAAAAAAGCACCACAGAGTGTGTTGGTTTTCCAATGACTGGGTCATCAGAGAGCCTCCACAACCAGCTCAATTAAGACAAGCGTGACAAACGTGTAGTTTAACTCCGATCAGCAGGAACAGCAGCCGAGAAAGCGAAGGTATAAGACATGACTAGAGCTCCAGCACATTGGCTCTACAGGTAGAGGCAGCTTTTAAAAAAGATTAAGCTAAGTGCTGCGAGCGAGCGCTGCGTCCACACGCTCAGGTCTGCCTGATGGAACAGGCGATGGGTGTGTGGATGTGGACGTCCTTCGATAGGATTTAAATGAGCTGATGGACACACACACACACACACACACACAGGAAGAAAACAACAACTAAGCTCTAAAAACATACAGACGCACAGTCTATGATCAGGTGTTTTTTTTTTTTTGTTTTGCAAATTTGTATAGAAATACGATATGAATTTGTGTTTTTGTTGGTTTTTATACATTTATTTTGACATATGTATTGGGCCAAATGCATTTGACTTGTAGCAGTGATATTTCAAGACCATAATTGAAGTAAATTTGAATGCTAATCGAACTCTGATTAGGACCAAAAAATAAATCCATAGTCCGTTTATAAACCTAGGTTCAGGTTCAGTAGAAGTGAACTCTGATACAGTTTGAATGTGTAAGAGATCCCTACAAAAGCAGGAAGTGGACCACAGTACAGAGTATTCTGGGTAAATTCAACCTAAATATACATGCTAGTCTAATGCCAGCAGGATAAATGACTCATGGTCTCTGTAGCCAAAATAAAAACTCCACACTAAAATTTGACTCTTCTCCATTATTGTTTACACTTCATGAAGAAGGAAGTTGCTGCCATGTCTTCTTCAGAGGTTTTTGTGTTGTTTCCTTCAGTGGTTCTTCATGCAGCGCCACCACATGTGAGGAGGGCAATAGGTTTTTTCAAAGTGTTTGGTTCGTTTGACACAGCACAGCGTGAATGTTCAGCATGGAACAATTTCTGCCGTTCCCCAATCAAACCGAGTTTACCAGATCCATCAGGTGTGAAAACACCTTTAATCTGAAGATGCACAGATCACATTTTTGTAGCCAATTTCCCATCTCAGTTTTATTCTGCTAATATTCATTTTAATCAATTCCCTTTTCTCTTCAAGAACAATGATATGAAATATCAAATAAGTATCATCCTAAATATTTCCTTCTAAACTTTCCAGTGCCATAAAAATTATTTGTTGGAGTGGCAGAGACGATGTCACACTGTGTGTGTGTGTGTGGTGTGTGTGTGTGTGTATGAGAGAGCGTTCAGTCAGTGTAAAACAGTGTTTTACTATTTTAATTTACAAAATGATTACAAGTCAACATTTGAAATGACCTTTAGCGCTTAAAAAGAATGACTATATCAGAGCGGCTAGCGTTACTATAACCGCAGTATCAGAGAAAGCTAAAGGCTACAAACATTTTCAAATCCAGTGCGTTCCATATTGAAAGTTATAAGAATAAAAGACAGTAACCTCAAGTTACTCAATTCAGCCTTCCTGTTATGTGTTGGAGGTTTTACAGCCTGAAAGAAACTCAGATATTTTCAACATGTTGTCATTAACAACTCCAATGTGAAACAGTGTTCAGAGATAAGCCTGGCAGCAAAAACATATTGCATTAACCGATCAGAATAAAAATGGGATTTTTGGGAGTTTCTGACTGGCTGGGGTGAAAGGTCAGGGCTGAAGAATCATTCGACCCCTACATTACTCCAAACAGAGTCCAGATGATTACTCAATCAATTCAACATAATTCCATAATAACCACTTATAAATTTAGCAAACCTCACCTTACTCACTTTACTTTAAATGCGTAGATTTTTTTTTTTTTACTTTTTGAAGAACCAGCCTTCAAACTCCAGATAAAAAACATTTCAAACTCCCTTCATTCCTGCATAAATGATCCCAGAAGACTTTTAGCTTGTGCTAAACTGTAAGTTGTTTGCTACCAGTCAACGGTGTAATCAGAGCTAAGACACATTTACAAATGCCACAGAATCAGAATAATCAGGTCATCCATACCTACTGCGTTTGTAAAATCTAAACCAAAGCTTTGGTATTGTAGGCACATGTGCTGGACATGTTACAGGCAGAACCTGCAACATCTGGATGCCTCAATTTACCCAAAAGCGATAAATCTTCCTGGCTTCTGCCTAAAGGAAACAGAAACCTGGCACTTTCCCTAGTTTTCACTCATTACAATTCTCCATTCGCTTAGCAGGCAGGTCAGTTTGAAGGCGTACTCATCGCTGTCATGTACATAAACATAGAAACACCCAAAAAGAACAGAGATTGTCTGCTTTTGCTGTGCTACTATGGCCACTCAGTCGCTCTTTGGGTGTCCAGGTGGAACAAATCACACTCCTCTCCTCAACATCTCACCGTGCTCGACTGCTGTTTGCACACAAAGTCTGATAGGAAGTCAAACTCGTTCTGTCCCAGGAAGAGCTCAGGCAGCTCCTGAACACGATCCAAGCCCAACTCCAACACCAGCGAGGTCAGAACTTCCTCATCAATTAGGTCCATGTCCGTTCCGTTCACCCCGAAAGGTGCACCGATGTGCTGCATGCCTGACAGCTGGGTGGGCCCCATCCGGTACTGCGCCCCGTTGGGCAGGTGGTGACCATTGGCCGACCCCAGCGGGTGTCCGTGATACTGAGTGTTGAGTTTCTGTAGGTGCATGCTCGCCATGAGCTGCTGTGACGTGAGGTTGCCAGGGAGATACTGCGGCGGGTGTCCGCCCTGCTGCTGCTGGGGGTGCATGTGGTGGTGGTGGTGATGCTGCTGGCCCTGGCCATTATACATCATGTTCCCATGCATCATCTGATGGGGATGATTGGTCATTGGAGCTCCATTCACAGGGCCGCCCATGCCTCCTTGTCCCATAAGGTTCGATCTCTGTCTCATGACCCCCTCTGTGGTATTCTGAGGATTCCTGCCATAGTGCAACACCTGGGCGTTGGGCAGCCCCCGCAGGCCCGGCTGGCCGTTGTGCTGCACTGGTCCGTTCATGCCCATCCGGAAACCATGAGACATGGGCATCGTCATGTGTTCAGCCATGGTTTTTAAGTCTTCCCTGAAAGAAAAGGTGTGGAAACACATTATAATAATTATTCCTCCAATGATGTCAACAAGATTATACAAAGTGTGGCAAAAAACAAAAATGATCATTTTTGAGTAAGAAAACAACCTGTGTTGGAATTCAGTGCTTCTACAGATTTATTATTGGTAGATAAACAACTTATACAACTTATTGATAAAGAATTTGTGTCTCCTGGTTTTTATGGAAGAAATTTTGTTTGTAATTTGCCACAACCCATGAAAGAGATTACCAGAAGGAGGTGACCTGCCTACTTGAGGAGATACTGGTATTCTTTGGTATGCCTAATGTTGGGTGGTGAAAGCTAAGTAGAGGCAGAGTGGTTCAGAGTAGATGGTACTCTGAACCACCATCCACACAGTACAATGTGATGGTGAAGACAGTGAAGCTTATCAGAGTTGATCAAGTCCAGAGGACTCCAACGCACTTCAAACTACATTCAGTGATTCACCCATTCACACCCACTAACCCTCAAGTGTCTTGCTAAAGGACACAACAACAGAGACGGAGGGAGCGAGGATTGAACCAATTGTGGTATAATCTCCTGCCACAGTTATAACCGTCATTCATACCTGTGGGTTACAGTGGCGCAGTCAAAGCACAGATCTAATCTTATCAAGGGATCTAAGTTAAGAGTCGATTGTTGACATTAGAATGTTAGAATCCAATCTAATTGAGGCTTCAGGTCTGTTTACTGAACGACAGTAAAATGCCAATGTTTTCTTGCGTTTTTGGAACCATGTAAGCGAGAGGCCAAAATGCAACAACGTTTTGGCCTCTCGCTTACACGCTAAAGAACGTTTTGACAAGACGAAAACATAAAGGTTTAACAACTTTTTGAACTCAGCAAATTTTAGGTGTATCTGCTAACGTTTTGTGTCAATTAGACTGTGCAGCAACACGGACGTAGCTCCCTGGGATCCCAGAAATGATCATTTTTGAAGCTGGTTTCCAGATTGGACAAATGTTTCCATGGCAGCCGTGTCTTCCTTAGACTCACAAATAGCAAACATGCCTCTGACTGGTGTTTTTAGTGTTGTTCTCTTGCACTGTTACAGCAACTGGTCCAGCAGAAATATATTTTATGTGATTTTTTTTCCTCAGTCATTTACAATAAATATGCCATGCTAGTTTCTTTGTGTGTGGGGCCTTAATGTTATTCATATCCATCTAAACAAAAACCGAAAACATTTGGATGGTGCAAGCCACGTCAGCTTAATGCGCATCCAGTTTTCATTTGGCACAACAACAATAATGGAGGACAGCTGTGTTTTCTCTGTGCTGCTGCACCTCTTCACTTCATTTAGTGTGTTAAAGCAAAATCTGCTTATTTTGAACATTTACAGCAATAGCGAAAAGCAAACGATTAAGAAAATACTCTGCTAAATTAGAAAGTTCAAAATGTTCACTGCCTCCTGCAGGCCTGGCATGTAAACTACATTCCTCAGAGTGTTATTTGCTTTTTCATTCCGCTGTAGTGTTTATGCGCACGTTTTTTCGTATGCAAAACGGAAAACCAACTGAGAAGCACAAAAGAGTTGCAGTGTTATCTGCGGCCAAAAGGTGGCGCTGCACAGTGCGGACTCAGGAGGGGCAGAATACAGAAGTAGGACAGCATACAGAAGTTGTTTTTGGTCTTTTTGTACATAAAACAAAAATAAAAAAAGAAAATATGCATCATTTTTGTTCCACTTCACAAGTACAAACTTCTACATCCTGCTCTGTTATAGTGAATACAGTGAAGTTTGTGGATGAGATAACTGCACCTGAAACACAGGGAGCGTTACAAAACCTCAAACATTACACCATTCAAGAATCACCACTACACTGTCAAACATGAGGGGTGGGGGGAAGAAACACTGCAGCTTGAAGGACTGAAATACACACACACACACACATGCACGCATACACACCAACTTCTCTCTCTCTTGATTTCAAAACACAACACACTGCCTCTGCCTTCACAGTCATCTCTGATGTTCTTGCTTTAAGTTCGATTACCACAGCAACAACAACACATCCTGTTCACACACACACACACACACACACACACACACACACACACACACACACACACACACACACACACACACACACACACACACACACACACACACACACACACAGCCCCACATTTCCTCACATGACCGATGTGTTATGAATGATCCCCAGTGTGTGTTTGTTGTCGTTTAGCGACTGTGAATTCTGGAGACACACACACACCCCTACACACCCACACATACACACACACACACACCCACACACACACACTGCTCTGCTCGGCATCCATGAAGCCACTTTAACAGCAGCAGCATCAGATCAGGATCCTGATCAGCTCTCTGTCACCATCATGCCACAGCGGATCTACCTGCCACTGACCGGCTGCTTTCTGCACCGCAGAGCCTCAATATGTGTCAAGACAAAGAGAAAACGCTGCCTGGCTCTCTCTCTCTCTCTCTCTCTTTCTCTCTCTCTTTTTTTTTTTTTTTTTTTGATAAGGACGAACAGGAGCGATCACCTACCCGATGGCGTAAAGTGAAATCCGTTCGGAGAAGTTCGTTAAGTCCCGGCTCGTCTCTTCAGCTGATGCTCCGGATACATGCAGCCCTGCGGCGGATTCAAACTGTGCGGCTTCTCGATCTAAAGAAGAGTTTGTTTTCTGGGTCAACTCAGGGATTATATACATGCAGAAAGCTCAGAGAGCGAGAGAGAGAGATAGAGAGAGAGAGGGAACGGTGTGGGGGGGCAGAAGGAGGAGCCACCGTCCTCTCCGTCTCCTTTGTTGCCATTGGTCCTCCCCCTTAATCACTGTGCAAAGAAACCTTCACCTCCGCTGATCCAGGAGCAGCTCAGAGCTGCACGTCCGCAGCGTCCAGCCTGCCGCAGGCTGAAGCAATGATCCTCACTGCTGACTCAAGGCTTTCTGCTTCTGCACGAGGACTAGTTGAACACAATGACAGAACTCTGAAGTTTGAAGCTGCAGTTTGTAACTCTTATTATAGACATGTTTCTACATATTTCTTAAAGGGGCAGTATTATTAGTCGACTGTTTTCAGTTGTGTGGTAATGTTATTCCGTCAGCAAAAACAGACATAGTGCTGCCTTGATTCTTTCATGCATGTTTGAGAAATCTCCATGGCAGCCATTCAGCCAGGTGGACATAGCCCCGTCTCTGAGACTTCCTGAAGTTGCAAATATGAATTTGCAACTTAATTTACCAAACTCTTGATACAGTGAGATGGCAGTATCTCATTAGGTCTTCCATCCATTACGGATGGAAGACTAATAGACAGAAGGATGGAAGTTACAGTGAGACACAGACAACTGGAGTGTCTGGGGCAGTGGGAGTGGTGAGGGGTCGGTCTTGTCACCCCCCACAAGATGTCGCCCTGGGCGGTCGCCCATAGCAGAATCTGGCACTGGCACAATAAATCACAATGCCAAATTTTGTAAGCTTGAAGTATAAATATGCACACAGCTCTGCAAACCCCTCTTGCCACACGCCAACACTTTTCTGCTTACTGCAACAGATCCTTCTTGGTGAACTGAACTAAAAAGTACTTGTGTTGTAAAAAAGTACTTACCCAATGAAAGTCATTGTGTGCCCCGCCCTCTAGCCCGTGAACATTCGCCTCCAGCCGGTAAAAAACCCACAATGCAACTCTATATTAAAAATTTACAGTACAGCTGTAAAATTCCGCACGTGATCCAGCGGTCCAGTCACGTCCCATAAACTTTCAGATCATAATTAAGAGCTTAATTTTCAAAACCCAGCCATCTTACTGTATTTTCATGCTGTAGGTTTTACAGCCATTTGTTACAGTGCAGATTGTAACAAATGGCTGAAACAGATAATCTGTAAAAAAAAAAAAAAGAGCGTTTTTTTTTTTTTGCCTCCTCTCTATACACTAGCTTGATTGACAATGCTTAGTCACTCCTCCTGGCTCTGATTGGTTATTTCTTACCAGGACTGGTACATTTTTGCATATGGCAGACTTTATTATACCATCATGACTAATGGTCTTATATATTAAACAAGTATGTAAAAAACAATTTTTTAATTTTTTATAAAAGTTCCATAATTCAGCTTTAAAGAGACAATAAACAAATTCTTGAAATTGGCTAATTTACAAATTACAAATACAAATAATTAGATTACAATTCCCTCGAGATAAAGCCCACAGGCTGAAGGCCACGCAATGAGCAGGAGCAGCGTTTACATGACGGAGAAATGCTTTTATCATATCACCTCCAGTGTGTTTGGAACTCTCTGTTTCTTCCTGTCCTCCTCTCTGGACGTACAGAGCAGAGTGATAACCACACACTGCTGGTGGAGCACAGAGCTTCTGGAGGCAGAATGACGGTTTATCATTGAGCTGCAAGCAGAAGATTTATCAAAGCAGGGATGTTCTGGTTGTTAGAATGCAGCACTTATCTGATCATATCATTTCACATCAGATTAGATTGTCATGCATGGTAGAAGGAAAAGTAGTTTATGGTTTTCTGGACATCACCAGCCTGATTTCCAGGCTGAATGCAGGTTTAAAGCATATCAATGATATATGTTCATAGCTATTGACTGATTGTACAGTTTTAAAATCTAACTGATTAAAAATTATGTCACAGCTAGCACACATACATGCTCAGTTATGATTTTTTCTATATATTTGACAAGTTTTAGTTTCCACTAACAGTTTGAATTTACCAACATTCTGACTGGAAGTGATATTAATGTTTGACTCTGAGGAGAAACTATGGAGGGAGCTAAATATTAGGGTGATGGTAAAGAGGCCTCCAGTCTCAACGGCTTTGAGCTCAGAGATGAATCAGAATACCAGAGGACACATGGAGAAGCTGCCAAGGAAAAGAAAAGGGTTGCTGTGATGGCAATGAAGATGTTTCCACAGGAAACTGAAATTTCAAAAACTTTATTCTTAACTTTCTTTTTTGAAGCAGAAGAATTTGGAATTAAGATGAGTTACAAGATTTAATTTTCCTTTAGAATCAAACAAGTATTTTTTAATTGAATTGAATGGAATCTCCATAATTAATTAAACACACATACCAACATTAATACTATTACTTTTCGGTCTCCATGGTTGCACTGTTACAACGAGGCCGTACTCACAGATCTGGTACTCAACTGTAATGGAAAATGAGCCAAACTAAGCTGAGTGGATCTGAGTGGAGCTGCACTGAGAAGAGTCATTACAGACCTGGTGTCTATCTCAGAAATAGTAAGTGACAACACATTTAACACGCATTCAGCTGCACATTTTCTCATATACTCATCATACATGGTGCCTTGGAGTTTTTGTTTTTTTGAGGGTTTCTTTTCTTTTCTTTTTTTTTTTGTTTGCACCATTTACGAAGCCAAAACTGGAGCAAATACATAAGTTGTGTTTTTCAAGTTTGTGTAGACTATAGGCCCCTACAGCTTTTGAGCACATGTGAAGTTATGGCTGTGAAGAAAAAAATAAATCCATACGCGTCTCAAAGCATCTTTCGGTGGCTCAAACCAGCATAAAAACATAAAAGTGTGGCCTTATTTCACCACAGGAACCAACTCACCAAAAGATCGCAGCGCTTCCCTCTGAAAATGAGACAAACGTTTTCTCATCTGTCTGATTTAAAACGTTCTTACACAGAGAGATTTACACCTGAAGACTGTTTCAAGTAAAATTCTGTCAAGAGGTTATGACTAATTCATCTTTCCTAGGTACAGTTGAAACCATTTATTTTCATCCACAGTGTATTTGCCAAATTTGGTATTTACTTCAAAAGTCAATGTTTTGTTAATTTTATATCTGGAATGGGTTTTACTAGATCTGGTTTTGAGATCCAGACGCATAACAAAGAAATTGTGTGACAGTAACTTATCTTACTTACCTGGCAGTATATTTCCCAACCGACAGGATCATTTTCATTGTGCTTGTTACATGTAAATAAATCCTGGATAGTTTTTGCTATTGTTGGATCAGATTTATTATTTTTTTATCCAATCTAAACTCTGTCCCTCGTCAGCCTTGCTGACATTGTGTCAGCGCTGCAGCCTTTCTGTGCAGTTCTGCTTAGTTATTATGATTCCTGCTCCACAGCTGACATTTTTCTTGTGGCGACAAACTGTAAGGTGACGATGTCAGAGCACATTCTGAACGGCTCCATTGCCATTCCACATTGGACTAAAACATTACGCTACATCAAGGAGAGAGAATGTGAAACAATGTGTTAGCCAATGGATGATCAGCTAGCTGATGACAGAGGGCAGAAAATAGAAGCCAGGCTGAGGAGAGAATGAAAATACAAAAGAGATTAGGAAAAAAAACCCTAGTTAAATATTAAGTTTTCATTACTTAAAGTGATAGTTTTAGTTTTTGTATACTGTGGTTAATTTTTAGGACCAGATTTAAAAAAGGTGAAAGAATTATATTGTGATTATATATACATAGATTGGGTAATAAACACTTAACAGAAGATACAATTTTCAGAAACCTCAAACTCCATTGAATGGCTTCCTGATTCTGTTCTTCCTACCAAAACTACCAGCTGGGGTTATAATTCTCTTTATCTCCTCTCTTTTTCAGACCAATTTGTTGTTGTTTTTTTTTCTGTTTTTTTTTTTAAAGCCCACCTCCCCTTTCTGAAAACGCCAACCACCCCCAGCTCCCAGCAGGAGGCCTGGCATGTACTCCTGTTGACATGCACACACCTGCACTACTGCACAGGAATGTGGCCTATTTCTTCACTTCAACATCTTTTCCAGATTAAGTGTTTCTTCCTGAATCTGGAAGAAACACTGAATCTGGAATCTTTATATCCTTACAACACTGTATTTGTACAACAGCCTGTTTGGTGTTTCCAGATTCCAGTGGAAGTGTCCACCCTTGTTACATCTCGGTACAAATGGAGGTGTAAGGACCGTCTGGTGAGGCTCAGCAGGGACTCAATTCATTGCTGTCGCAGATCAGATCCGCACACGCACTTTTGTTTTCCGAGATCACAGGCAGGGGCATTAAAAGTGGAACGCTGAAACTAGGCAGAATAAATATTTCCTATCAGCATTTTCTGTGCTCTGCTCATAAAATTGGAAAGAGGTCAGGGGTGTGAATTATCATCTTTGAAAAATGACAGATGGCCTTCCAATTTGGTAACATTTTAATTCACAGGCTGTGAATTAGACTGTCATGACACTGTTATAAGCATGACATAACACCTGTCATGAACATGACATAGCACCTGCCATGAACATGAATAAGTCTTCATTGATATTTATGACTGTTGTCATAAAGTGTAATTTGGCAAATCATGACACTTTTAATACAAAGTTGACATTATTCAAAATGTCTTTGTTATGACAACTTGATATTAACCAAGAAATCATAATCTGCTATAAGTTTGTTATAAAAGTATTACTGATTAAAGTTTAAAAATTATGTATCTTTATTTGGTAATATTATATTGCTCTGCCATTTCGTTTAGTCTTAAATTTCTAATTAAGTAAGTAATATTTCCTCCTACCGGAAATAAAGCAGAACAAGTAGGACCAACAATATTTTGTTTTTCATTAAACTTTATTACACTGTCAAATGATTTAATAACAGAGTCATTAATAATTCCTCTTACATCAAATGGAACAAGTAGCACCAGTTATGAAGATGACATTAAGTGTTATTACAGTGTCAATAATATTAATTCTTACTTTACTTAGAGCCTTCCTTTAATGCTCTGATATCAGGGAGATC